TGTTGGACTAAGGTGCACAAAACGAACATTTGAGTAGATAGAGAACATTTATTTATTTTTTTTTCTGCGAAGTAAGTCTCATGAACGACAATACACCACAATTTTGGTAAAATTAATGTTGAAATGAAGAATATAATTTCAGTCTAATGTTAGTGCAAAATATCATTAGGCCTTTATAATCACCGCACGACGCGCGATTATCATGGCAACTAACACGTGCGCAAGTAATTCGTCACGTACGCTGACGGTTTATGGTCTGGTTGCTATGGTTTTTGTGACGTTCAGCGTCTAGGGACGCACATGCGCCTAGAATGTCGATGCCAGAGTTATAACCTTTGATGTCCCGAGATGTGCGTCCTTCTGTTGAATTGCCTTTGTTTTATGTATTTATTTCGGTATACAACCTTAAGCTAACAATTGAAACTGTTAAGCATTATTCATCGAGAATTTATCGTTTCTCCGAAGATTTCATCTGTCTGATATGATGTTACGCACTTAATTTTACACGAATAGAATTTAGATTAACAGTCAATTTAATGAGTTACTGTATTCAATACGCCTATATTAGGCTTATGTGGTTTATTTCTGAATACTGGTTTTATGTATTTATTTCGGTTTCGGAAACCGTTAAGCAGAAGATAGAGCAGCTTCCCAATATAGTGGAACATCCGTTCAAAAGGCATTTTGGGTACACGGAGAGCAATTTTACCCCCTCGCGGCGGCGCTATATAGAATTAATAAACAGCAATAAAGGCGCCGCTCTTGTTCGTTTGTCTCCTGTAGTTTCTCCACTTAGTAAAATGTTCAATGTTCGCAGGAGGGCGAATGTTCCATCGATTTTAATGCAAATACGCGGAGCAGCTCATTCGTCCGCTATTTAAGTTCTTTGTTTATACTACAAAAAGAATATACATTTAAATGAACGACTTTAATATAGTTTGTAAAAATATAACATAGGCCTATTCATTATGAACTTCAGAACTTACAACTTGTAATATAACTTGGCCTTACGGTGGTGATGAACAAACATGACATAAAATCGTGTGTCCATATAAGTAGGCTCAGGCCTAATAAACAAATTGCTACTCTTAAACTGAAAAAAAACTTTGTCCAAACAGCAGAGCGTTGGAACACTTTTTTTCATTTGAAGAATACAGAACGATTGTGGAGGCTTATTCCTATTTTACTCTATGGTATGTAGGCCTGTCGTTACTTTGTTTTGATTTGTCATTTGCCGATTTTCTATGTATTGCCCAAACCGGGAACCGAACCCGGGACCTTCCGCTGTCTATATACGCCGTAACCAACTAAATAGACCATTGAGTATTTGTTGGGAATTCAAATACTGTACGATTAAAGCACTTAATCTTCCACACTTATGCGAATGCGTATTAGACAGCACTAGCATATAAGAGAGATTCATAGCAAATAAGAGAGATCAATATAATACGCCCTCCTTTTATCAGCAACTGACAAGACGAGGCTCCGAATAGATGCTGGGGGGGGGGGCGAGCCCACCGCACCCCTCCCCCTCCCCCCTGGATACGCCACTGGCCGATACTGTAACTCATACGAGTTTATGCACATTATAGGATGACGATGATGATTGAATACAGATTTTTTAGTTACCAGGTATAATATTGTGAAACAACAATGACGTGGGAAACAATGGCTGGATGTCGGTGAGATACACAATTGAGAATCTAAAATGTACACGCAAGTTAACAGCCAAAAATAGACCCAGGGCAGAGCTTAAAATTAATACAGCCCGGGGATATCTCTCTGTCATAATGGATGATGGTACCGTAATCTTTTCAGGTTGCATTCTTTTTATATTATTTGATTTCACATAAAAGTGAATCATGACGTAATATATAGTTTATTTACACAAGCCCGTAACCAGGTTGGTTCGTTGGGTTCGAACAAATCCCCCTTTTCATGAAGTGCCCTTTCAACAAAGGCTGGCTAGCCTACACTTTAGGCCTAGCCTAGAGCCTAGCATCATTAAAAGTCCTATTTTAATACCCGATCGTTAGGCCTCCTAGTAACATACAAAATTCAGGCCCCGAAACCTTGACTCAGAAATACCGGGATGGTGTCCGGCGGGGGATAGTTTCACCTGTGTAGGCCTATATATATGTATGATTATAATAGGCTACAACCAACCATACAAATTTGTCTCGGTTCTTTTTGTTATTGATTGTCTTAAGTGAGTATAATATGATACAACTTCCAAAGTGCTATATAAATAAAAAATAAAGTATAAACCATACTGGATTCTTCGGAGTGTGTATCATGCTACTGTTGTTAAATTACCAATACTGTAGTACTAAAGTAGTAGTTTTTTTTTTTTTTTATCTTTTTCCAACTCAAAAAATTACCTCTTTAATAACATTTTTTTTGTGTATGGCCTCTCAAATCAATTAAATAACACCTGTAAATGCTTAGAATGCTGGACCCCCACCAGGGTTTTGGCCCTGGACCCCGCGGGGGCCCTTGGCGGCCCCCCTGGCCCCAGCCAATGGTGCTCGCAAGTGCCCTTTCAGTATCAAAAAGAACCCCCCTACCAAAATCCTGGCTACGGGCTTGGTACACTGCAACATACTTTATTTCATTCACAAGAAGAAACAAAGTTAAAAGAAATTTTCACTAGACAAAAAACATTGACTACAAACATAACACGTGTTCATTTTGATTCATCTTTCAAGTTTTATTTTGCAAATACTGTACAGACAAAGCAATAAATGTCTGAAATATACTCACGCCAGCTTTACTGAATAAATCTTAATAATATAGCGTATATTTTCTTACAACACATCAAACTACATTCTAAAATACAAATTTAATCAGACACAATAATCTACCCTTAAAAACCTAATAACGATTATTCCTTTCGGTCGTGTCGACGTCAATAAGGGAATACTATTTTACATATTGATTAGTAAATAAACATCTGCATGCCACTTTAAAACATAGGCCTACTGTATTTTCTAGTTACAACGATGCGGTGTTTACGATGTATATTACATCAGTATACAATTTATTTACTATTATTATCTTCATGGTTTATGTTGCTACAAACTGTTTGTATCAAGTCAATCAATATTTTGCTTTTCTTAAGAATACAATTGAAAATTAGAATCCGAGAATAGTGTCCTTGCCAACTATCAGACAAATCACATATATTCATGCAGTTTAGTCTAAATGACTAACCTTATGGATTTGTAATATTATTATTTTTGCATTTTAATGATAAATTTGAACCAATAATATAAATTAATTACATGTATATAATACTGGTTCTAATTTGTTATATAATATACTCTACAGGTACATTTTTAGCAGACAATTTAACGATTTCTGTATGCCTATTATAAATTATTAAGTAAACTGAATGAAGATTTATTTAATTTAAATTGTAACTTAGGTCTATTTTATTTTTTCTGAATAAAAAAAAAAATATTGTCTTCATTGAATGGTAGCGTTTTAGAGATTTATCACAACCATTATCTTTAAAAAAAAATTCTCAACAATTGTAGATCCGGAGGGAAGAATCATGTTTATAGAAGTGGTTGGCGCATCGGTTGTGGCTTGGATTCTCAACCTTCAGGTCGGGGGTTCGAACCTCTCCCTGTGCAAGTCACTTGTGTCCTTGGGAAAGGCACTTTATCTACGGTTGTCTCTCTCCACCCAGGAGTACAAGTGCGTACCTGGTAGGTTCAAACACAGCCTGCGCTGAATACAGCTGCAACATTATGGAATTCCCCCATGGGGCTTGAGTGTGTGTTCCATATGTGCTTGATCCAGTGATCCGGAGGTAATAATGTTCAAGCGCCTCAATGGTGTGCCAACGTGAGGCGCTATATAAATCCAGAATTATTATTATTATTATTATTATTATATTTCATTTACTTACAATGCCCTCTATAATACTGTACTGGCAAAGCAATAAAGTCTAAAATAGACGCACGCCAGGTGTCTCTCTCCACCCAGGAGTACAAGTGTGTACCTAGTAGGTTGAAACACAGCCTGCGCTGAATACAGCTGCAACATTATCATGGGCTTCAGAGGCAATAAGTAAATTTAAGAACTCATAGCTCTTCAACAAACCAGCAGAATTTATTACCTGAGTTTTTTTTTTCAAAAACTTGGGTGCTTATGGACCAAATACTCTATTACAGTATATCCATGGGGTTCACCGATAAGTTTTACATACTGTACAGTAGATAACCTGTCTCTTATACACATCTAGAGGGCGCACTTTATTGACTGTATAAAGTATACATAAAAGCGAGAGTATTCCAGTGGATGCGATCTACAACCTCTGAATTTGCCTAGTAACGATGAATTCGTCGAGAAAATGGTAATATTTTATGAGAAATAGTCTGTATTTCTCATTTTTTCAATTCTTTTGTGTAAAACTAAAATTTATGCCAATATTTTTCCATGATTTATAATAATTGGAGTAATGCAAACGCATATTTTCTAAAAAAAAGTCATTTTTAGTGAAATTTTGCCGGGAATGGGGCTTTAAGGATACAGTAAAGTCAAACAATATTGTACTTTTGATGTTCTAATTTCCCAGTACTGTACAATGATCGTTCTCCTTCCACCGCTCATTGCGGGTGATATACAATGCACGTCACACACATTCTGGCATTTCATTGGGTGATGGTGACGTAATGCCATTTATCGTACCTTGGCAAAACAAAGTAGAAATACGGTACCGCACCTCTAGCCACGGCGTTATTTATAATGTAGCCCTAATTTCGAATTTTTCGAATACGAATTATTAATTTCTAAATTACGAGTTACTAATTCGAAATTTCGAATTAGTAATTCGTAATTCGAATTAGTGGAGGCTAAATACTTATTTTGGCACTAATAGGCAGCTTGGCCCAGATAATACCCATTTTATAATTACGCTATGCTTTCACAAACTCCGCGCACAACCAGTGGCAGTAGAAACTGGCCTAGCTGTGTGGTTAGTGACTACTTGCCTGTTGTGTTGTTGCTTCCGCGAAAAAAATGTCGGCACGTGCTTTTGATTCAGGTCCCACGGGTGAACGGAGGGTCAGCCGTAAATCCAAGAAGACAGAAAGAGAGACGTTTCAACAGCACTGGCAAGATTTTAGGTAGAATCGGGTGAATCTGGACAGTAGGCCTACCACGTACCGTATACTATTACTAATTCCATACAACGCCCTCTATAGAAACAACTTTGGGAAATTCCCATACTGGCAACATTTCACCATTGTTTCACAACGGAATCCGATTTCGTCCTACATTGGGAGTGGGATTGGGTGGTTGGCCTGAGTCTGAGAGTGCATTACCGGCCATAATCATAATGTTTTTCCTCAGCCCCAGCCATGGTGTAGCTGAGGTGGTGTATAGAGGTAGAGCCTAGACCCTCCATCTGTGAAACGAACACCGCCCCCCTCCCACCCCTCTATTTCGAATTCCTGCATCTATCACTGTGTACAACATTCCCACTAATACGTTGAAAATCACAAAGAATGAAAAAATATATAAAAATATATAAAAGATATATATATCTAATAATATTAATTTGACTAATCAACTACATCCGTAGTTTTTTTTTTAATTAGGCCTATTATAATTATTGGTTTTTTTTCCTTATTTTTTCATAACAATTTTCTGTTGATATTTATCTTTCACTATTTCTTTTTATTATTAGGTGCTTTTTATAGCTCGTATTATTATTATTACTATTATTATTATCATTATTATTATTAGCCTATTATTATTATCATTACTATTATTATTATCATCTTCAATATTATTATTATTATTATTATTATTATCATCATTATTATTATTGCTATTGCTGTTGATGTTATCGCTTTTATCATTATTTCTTTGGTAGGCATCTTGTACAGGGACATATTTCCTTCTTGTCTACTAGACTTTTACGTTCAAGTTTTGAGAAAAATGGAATTATGAATTGTGAATTTTTGACAAAAAGTACAATAATGCTTGTAACAACATAATTGAGAACTGCAACCCCGTGCAAACCCGTGTAGGTATAAAGTGAGTATCTTTATTATAATTATCATTAATAATATCATCAATGTCATGATTATCATTTATCAAGTTAATAATATTAATAGCCTAAGGCCTAGTTCAGACTAGGTGGATAAACCCGGCTCAACTCACCGGGTTCATCCACCTCAACTTCAACGCTAAGCCCGGCTTAACTTTGGCAGGCGTTCAGACTAGCGGGATTTCTAGTAGGAATGGGAGGTTCCCATGCACCCCCAGGATATATATTTTTAACTAACATTTTTGTAACCCTCAAAGTATCTGATGAACAAATTTTGATGTTCCCATGGGGTCGTTTGGGGCCATTTTGGCGGCCATCTTTGATTTTGAATGAAAATCAATTATTTGCATATAATTTATTAACTGAAAATCATATAAAATCAAATTAACCTCTAAATGTATATAGTAAGCAGTACGTGTTTAAGTTTTTTTATACAAAACATTGACCTCGCATTTACATTTAACCGTCATATTCGAGGCCGATCTTGGATTTTGAATGAAAACCAATTATTTGCATAATTTATAAACTAAAAATCATATACAATCAAATGAATCTCTAAATGTATATAGCAGTGTTTATGTTCTCAATACAAAAAAATTAACTTCTCAATACATTTGGCGGCCATATTGGATTGTCAATGAAAATCATTAATTTGTATAATTTATTAACTAAAAATCATATAAAATTAAATGAAACTCTAAATATATAGGCCTATGGTATAAACAGTGTTTGTTTTCTCAATACAAAATATTGACTTCGTAATACACTGCCCAGCCATTTTGGCAGCTATATTAGCGGCCATAATATTGTCTTTTTAATGAACACTGATTACATTGAAACTACAAAATATGAGAAGTCACTTTATTTACACTCAAAATTTAATTCAAAAACTCTTTCATCCTGGTGAAAATGCGCTTTTTAATGGTATGGGTCTAATGTTTGGTATAAAAAATATTTAAAAATAATGTTAGTCCAACTACCGTACAAACTAAAAACTAATGGTTAAACTCAATGACCATGATTTTCTGGCCAATGTTATTCAAGCTCCCTGTTATCCACACCAATGAACACCAGTCAGATGCAATGTTTAGTTTCACAATAAATCTACTGTACTTTTATTATTGTGCTACACGTGCTGTTACACCCAATGAGCCTTTTTTGTGGATGTTTTACAAAGAAAATCCCTTATAAATTCATGTAATTCTTTAAATGACTATAATTAATGGAGGACCCGCTCTACAAATACTGTATTACTGCCGCCAAGGAGGTTATGCATTCACAGTTGCCTGTCTGCCTTTTAGCAAGATCACACAAAACGGATCATCATACCAGAGTGGTACATAATAATCTAAGAAAAATCACAAGGCTTGTTGCAAAAGAATAGGTTGAAAGTTGGGATATAGGATGTGGGTGCTTTTTTGCAGCCACAAAGTTTAAAAGTATTGAGAACACACTTCTGACCAATCTCCATGATGGCATCCTCTCACTGCATCCATAGATTCTTTATGACTGAATATTCTGTCCCTGGTTGGTAGATAGGGGTAATGCTGGCGATGGTTGACTTACATAAGAGTTTTTCACCAGTACCTGAGACAACGCCACCAAATCCTGGAACAAGTTGTTTCTCACCGCTGCTACCAATAGGCAAGTAACCAGACACGATACTCTTAAATGCACTTTGTTACACTGTTCAGTGTAGGCAGATTGAATACAGCTCCCTCAGAAAATTTGGGCCCAGCACAACCTGAACTGGTGCCAGGGTCACAATCATATCCCTTTTCAAGGAGCACATTTTGCTTCGTTTGTAGACAGGAAGCGTCCAGAGCTCAAACCCGGGTTTCACCTCTTGTACCTTGATTCCACCAGCATTGTTTAACACAGTTTAAATCATGAACATTTGTCATAATTTTGTTCAGATTTTCCCACTCGAGATGAAATATGCTGTTGAGCTGAGGAGTAAGGGAAATGGATCAAGAGCTGATGATGAATCTGAACAAAATTATGACAAACATTCATGGTTCAAAGGTGTTGAACAGTGCTGGAATCATAGTATAGGAGGTGAAACCCAAGTTTGGAGCCAGCAACCAGGAGACAATGCTCCGTACGCTGTCTACGGATGAAGCAAGATGCGCTCATGAGAGTGGATATAGCCAGGATCCTAGCATCAGTGTATATATGGTCGTGTTGGGCCAAAACCTGTCTGAGGGAGCTGCATTCATTCATTCTGCCTGCAATAAACTGTAAAGTACATCTGAGAGTTTCATATCTGGTTACTGGCAGTGGGGAGCGTAGAGAAACAACTTGTTCCAGGATTTTGTGTGTTTTTTTTCTTAAGTACAGGTGAAAAAAGTTACCCCTATCAACCAGCCATTCACAAACTATTTTGTCATCAAGGAGCCACGGAAGCAGTCAGAGGAAACCACCATCCATGAAAATTTGACATAAGTATGTTCTCAAATCTTTTGCGGTTGGTGGCTGCATGGAAGCCCTTCCCCTAATTTCCTAGCAGAGACAACCTATGTCCGAACTAACTTCAAATGATTTTAAATATTCTGGTGTTGTTTTAGCATGTTTTCCACAATAAGGTTTGTCTTATTAAACCCTAAGGCATAAGAAGAGGAAATTTGACGTGGGTGAACATGTTGGAGTTAAAAACAATAGAGATGTGTTAATTAAGCATGTAAAGGGATGTGTAATTAAGACGTTGGGTCTTCCTAACTATTTGATGCGTGTTGCGGGAGTTGGCTAGTGTTCCTGTCAATGACGTTAGTGGGTATACTCCAAGGAAGTTCATGAGAAGCAGCGGGATCCACATGTGGTAACACATCCTGAGCCTTTGCCAACGCAAAGTTCCACACTCTGTGAAACTTCAATGGTGGTCGAAAACCCCCGAGTGAGTGAACCGGTTGACAAAGGTCAAAAAGTCCTACCAGCTCAAAAACCCCTATTGCGAAGATCCTCACGAATAGTTAAGGCCCAGACAGAATTTGTAGTTCAAAGTTAGTTGAGGAAGAGTGTAGTGTACTGTACTCTCAATCAACTCCTAATGACAACATTACTATAAAAACATTGTTTACTTATTTTTTGTATGATATATAGGTCAAATGTTATACCAATACCGTAATCAATTTTCATTGAACATTTAAAATGGCCGCCAAATAAGTAGATAGAATAGATAGAATTTTTTTCTTTATTCTGGATACTTAATCAACTTTTACATTGTTCTTCCTTAAGGTCCAGTTAATAGTTACAACATTAAAATAAGAAATGAAAGTTAAGAAATTATATACAAAAACAAAAGAAAATTTGGTAAACACAAGCAAAATTTGGTATACACAAGAAGCAAAATGAAAATGTAATATTAAATCAAATTTTTGAAGGAATGCAAAGTTAAGAAATTTATTGAATTGCGAGTATCGGGGGAAGATTGTTCCACAGTTTAACCGAGCGGTATTTGAATGTATTTTCCCCAAATCCATTGTTCCATTTAGGTAAAACTAATGTATTTTTCGATTTGCTTCTTGTGTTTAGACTGTGATAATTGTCCATTAGCTCATAAAAAATATTTAAGTACTCAGGGACTGGGCCTGTTAAACATTTAAAGGTCATAATAAGTATATTCTCTTCCCATCGTTGATACATACTTCCAATTCAGAGATTTCATAAGATTGTTAAAAGGTGTTCTGATATCAGCATTTAAAGTAATTCTGGCAAGTCTATTTAATAATACTTGGAGTGAGTTGAGATGGGCTACTGTACAATTTGACCATGCAGAACTACAATAATCAAAAATTGGCAGTACTATGGCATTAGCTAAAGGTTTAAGAGAAAAATTAGGATGAAACTTCTTAATCTACGAATAATTCCAATATGTTGGGATATTTTTGAACATGGGTGAAAGTATGCATGTTCCAAGTGAAAAAACTATCAAAATTAATGCCTAAATACTTAAAACTATCGACCCTTCAACCAAGTTACCTTTTATTTATATACCAAGTTACCAAATTTATTGCTAAGTCAATGTTTTGTATTTAGAATATAAAACAATGCTTACTGTATACATTTGATTTTATGTGATTTTTAGTTAATAATTTACAGTATACAAATTAATTATTTTT